CGAGAGGGCAAAAAAATATACCGTATTTTTCAGAGTAAAAGACGCACCGGAGTATAAGACGCACCAAGGTTTTGAAGAGGCAATTTTTTAAAAAAAAACTAGGTAGGTAGATAGAGGGATAAAGAGAGAGAGAGAGAGAGAAACAGAGAAAGAAATACAGTAGATAGGTAGGGAGAGAGAGAGTGGTTAGATAGGTAGGTAGGTAGTTAGGTAGGTAGGTAGGTAGGTAGGTAGGTAGGTAGAGGGATAGAGAGAGAGAAATAGAGAGAGATAGAGAAATACAGTAAGTGGGTAGGAAGAGAGAGAGTGTGTAGGTAGGTAGGTAGTGGGGGGGAGAGAGAGAGAGGGAGAGGGAGAGAGAGAAATACAGTAGATAGGTAGATGTTTCTGCTGGCACAGCACTTGATCAATGTAATTCTCCACAATCAGTTAAAGAGCTTTCCAAAGGGGGGGGAGTTTTTGCACTCTGCAAACCTCCCAAAAACGGGCCGTTTTTCGTCAAAAAAACTTGCATGCATAGTCTTATGGAGGCTTATAGAGTGCTCCTGGGGCTGGGGGCNGATCAGCTTTTGCAACCTCCTGACAAGCAAAGTCAATGGGGAATCCAGATTCACTTAACAACCCTATTACTAATTTAACAACTGCAGCTATTCACTTAACAACTGTGGCAAGAAAATTCATAAAATGGGGCAAAATTCACTTAACGAATGTTTTCACCTAGCAACATAAATTTGGGGCTCAATTGTGGTTGAAACTTGAGGACTACCTGTATTTCTTTGTGAGTTTGATCAACTGGATTCCCTGTTGGATGGTGATTGGTCCCCAAGCCCACAAATAAAAGTTCCGTGCCCCCACAGAAAACAAATTGGGTTATAAGAAGGACTCTTGAAGATGAAAATAAGTATATTCCACTAATGATGCCAACCTCAGGTCACATGTCAACTCCTTTTGTTTTCCTTTAAGATAACTGAGTTAGAAATAAAAGTCAATACAGATAGTCCTTGACAAATGAGTCCAACATGTCTGTTGTTAAGTAAGACATTTGTTAAGTACATTTATTTCCCCCCATTTTACAACTTTTCTTGCCACAATTACTAAGTGAATCATTGCAGTTGGTAAGTTTGTAACCCAGTTGTTAAGTGAATCTGGCTTCCCCATAGACTTTGCTCATCAGAAGGTTGCAAAATGGGATCACATGACCCCAGGATGCAGCAACGGTCATAAATATGGACCAGTTGCCAAACATCTGAAAAGGTGGTAACTGTAAAAAAAGATCATAAGCCACATTTTTCAATGCCGCTGTAACTTTGAATGGTCACTAAACAAACTGTTATAAGTCGAGGACTTATATATATGCCTTTTAGCATATGTAGGGATTACCGTATTTTTCGGAGTATAAGACACACCAGAGTATAAGACATACCAGAGTATAAGACGCACCTTAGTTTTGGGGGAGGAAAATAGGAGAAAAAAATTCTGCCTACCAGGTAATCTGGCTAGCATCCTTAGTATGGTCAGCTTCACCACATACGTTTGCTGGTTTAGAGCATGTGCACACATGCTTTTGATTCCTTGGTTGGGGATAAAAAACAGCTTCTAAAGCCCAGCTCATTGTCGGAGGAAGCAGCAATGAGGGCAAAGCAAGGAAGTTTGCTTCACTTGTTAGCACCTCATTAGGACTGGAATTTTTTTTTGAAAAAACTACATTCAGAGTATAAAACGCACCTAAATTTTCAGTCTCTTTTAGGGGGGAATGAGTCTTACACTCCGTAAAATACGGGATTTATTGCATGCCTTTTTTCAAGGTGGTATGGTTTCTACCTTTTACATCCACAGCAGCTACCCTAAGGGGTAAATTGGGTTTAAAGGTTGTGTGACTGCCACCCAACAAACTCCATGAAATAAAGTGGGAACATGAAGTCAGGTTTTGCAACTCCCGGTCCAACATTCTACCCCATCATACTCTTTCCTGCAATTTGGCAACCATATCTCAAGTTTAGAGGGCTTTTTGTACTTTTCGAAGAATTTATTGATCAGAGCAGCATATACATGTAATAAATAAAAATACATGCATGTCCAGAACAGCACTTTTTAAAGCAGCTGGTTACATTAGTTGTAAAAAGTAAACTACTTCCAAATAAGTAAACTACTTATTTACTCCCAAAAGCAGTAAAAAGTAGTTTACTGCCAAAAAATTAAACTATTACCAAATAAGAAGAGATTGTTCAACCATTTGTCTGAAATGGTAACGTGTTTCCTGCCTGAGCAGTGGGTTGGACTAGATCTCCATGGTCCCTTCCAACTTTGTTATTCTATTATTCTGTAAGTAGATAAGCCATTCCCCACATGCCAATTTCTCAAATAATGAGCCTCATAACCTAAGCAGAGAGACCCAGGAGGATGCATTGAATTCACTGCAATTTATATAAGCCAGTATAAGCCCATAGTTAGATTTCCTTTCCTTTCCACTAGGAAATCCCCAAGCTATAGAATAGAGTGGAAAGCTGGGGGGGAAATATTTAATATTGTTGCCCAAAACTATACGGATGTCTGCATTTACTAATAGGAAACGAGTTCAACTTCAATGATGTTTACCTTTTTAAAAGACAAAAATGTTCATTTCTCTCTGATATCTCTTACCATCTGAACATAAAATGCAAACCTAATTAAAACTGTAAAGTACTGAAGTACAGTGACTAGATTATCTTCTTTAAAACTCCATCCTTTTATTTGGTGAACCAAATAATATTTTGGGCAGAAGTAGCTCTGGAATGTGGTAGGTCAAAATTCAGTACTGCAGTAAAAGTAAACCACATTATTAAACACCTGAAAATTCACTAAACCGGTGACAGAGTTATTGCATTTCTTATGTCATTTTGTTTAACATTAAACATCATATATGAGGTTTCCTCTCTGATTCCCCCATTTAAATCTCCTCTTTGCTAAGTGGATGAATGAATGAACTTGCAAGTGGCCTTCAGATGCTATTCTCTCTCAGCCAGGATATTTTTAAAAAGTCTAAAAAGAAGACTATGATGATTGAGATAGAAGCCCTTAGAACATCTGAAATGGAGCCAAAGGTATTAATGTGATTTCAACCACTGACCAGTGAAGGATTCATCAAAACACAGCTTTTAAAATCAAACCAAGATTTATTCAGCTACAGAAAATTAACCAAGGAACACAAAACAGTGGCAAATGGGGGAAAATGTTTTCCCACTTATAGAATCTCACTCAAAAGTGTATTAACAATTGGAACCAGCTTCATTCTGTATATATTACCAAGAAGCTGACCCCTTACCAACATCCAACTTTGAGTCACCAAATATTATTTAGGAACAAAACTGTTTTTTCTTCCTCACATTTTTTTCTGCTAGTGCAAAGTCTGCTTTTTTGCAGATCAACCAAGTGTTGATCCATTAGTTGCAACAGGAATTAACCAACTACCTTGTCACTCAGCCTAACATTATAGGCTGAAAGAGCACAGCTAGTCTCAAATCACTCAGCAGTTTTTCATGCCTAAATTGGGACTAGAACTCATAGTCTCCCAGTTTCAAGCCAGGTGCCTTAACCACTATAACAACAAAACTTTGTTGGCTTTCCAACAAATTGCATCTGGCATCTTAAATTGAAAATCCTACCCACTCTTCTGAAGATATTTTTAAAAAGCAACTAATAGGAGGAAGAGATTATACCCAAAGATGTCATAAATTCATTAAAATGGTTCTATGAAGGCTCATTCTGGCAGATTTGAGTCAGAGAAAAGGGAGGGAGCAGAGGGAAAAATAGATATGACGGTACTCCTAATCAAAATATGTTTCTCTCAGTTACTTCTCTATTTCAACCCCAAAATTTATTTTTGGTATCTTTCCAATAAGCTGCAAAACTGTAGACGTTTTTCAACCATTCCAGTAGAAAATGATTATGAGCTGCTTGCAAAGTCAGTGGCTTACAAAGTCAGTGGTTTTTAGTAAAAGTCAGTTTTGACTCCTACATGGCCTCTAGATAAGTCCTTGAAGTTTTCTTGGCAACATCTCCAGAAGTGGTTTGCCAGTTCCTTCTTCCTAGAGCTGAATAGGAATGATTGGCCCAAGAGCTGGCTTTGTGCCCAAGGCAAAACAAGAACAGTCTCCTGGTTTCTAGCCTAAGTCCTTAATTGCTACACCAACTGGCCTGTTTTTGATAAAGGGTGATTTTATCAATGGCATTTGAATTTATCAGTATTAAGGAGAAGGGCACACAATCTCCACCTCTACCAAAGAGGAAAACTTAACTGTTCTAGTCTCCACCAAAACAGAGAGGTCTGCAAACAACTAGTTTCAACTAAAGTAACAGGGACGAGAGAACCCCTAGTGGTTACAAAGGTATGGGATATGCGTAGTTCAACTACATAATCCTCAGCTTTAAATCATATTTAGTCCACTGGGCCTTAAGATTGTTATCTAAAATGTCAACTGATCTTACACTTTTCACTGAGGAAGAGCTGTATGAAATTCTTCAGCTATTTCCATGAAGTGTGCAGGATCTTCAGTTATTGCAACAAAAAGAATAGGAGTTCTAGCTCCCATATCCACAAACACCTATCAAAAGTTGGAAGCAGTTGCTAATCAGAAAGATATCACTATTAAGGCATCCTGTCTAAGAATCAGCATTCCGAGGAATACATTTTGCATGAGAAAGCCAAATTCTGCCAGTACTATCTCTTATTAAAAGGGAAAAACAGGTCTTGAAACTTCAGTCACCCTAGTTTTGTAGAATCAAATGCTTCCTTTTAATTTAAACTGGTGATGATGATGGTGGTGTTGCTAGGGATAGCAAATATATATTACAAAATTAAAATACTTCTCCATTCCTACCCCCTTTAAAGTATATTGTTCTCAAAATGCAACTCAGTACGACACAGTACACTTGAACAGTTAAGAAAATAGAGAAAATTTGGGATGTTTGCCATAGCTCAAGATTCTATGGAAACAAGCCTTGGGCACTAGAAAAGGTCTTACCTGTGTTTTGTCCTTGGGACAAGGCACCAATACTTTGTGGACAAATACCAGATCCCAAAAGACTTTTCTCCATATCAGTTTGTAGGTAGCAGTAGTAAATGCGCTTGGATAAAGAGTGGGGCTTTCAGGGAATCAGTTTCATTTTGGTTTCGATCAACTGCAAGAATCTCTTCATGATCTCTTTAAAATATCTTACCCGGTTTTCTGCAAAGTACCATTCACTGATACTTTGAAATATAGGCTGAATACTATAGACTTAAGCAACAAACTTCTGGAACCTAAGATCTGCAAATGATGCGGCAAGATTTGCCAATGTAGTAGGTGAGCCCATTCTGGCAGCTCCATGGGCCCAATGTTTCTTCCTTTTCCATGGTTTCTACCAACTTCATCTTGAAGTCCACATACGTCACTATCATGAAATCCTGGAGTTATTTTGAGTTTAGCTAACGATGCCAGTATTTATCTCAATGCTCTTGGACTTTTTTTTATCATTCGTAGTAGTGGGAGCAAACTTAGCAGTAGATGCTGCTATCTCTTTTTGTTCTTAAAGATGTTACATTGCTGCATCCACTGATAATGCCACCTGTTCATCGGATATCCACATATTCAGCATAGCTCTAGTGCTATTTGAACTCACTTCTGTAATGGAGCCAATAATGCCCAAATGTCATCTCAAGAAAGGCTGAATCATTTCAGTTTTGTGGGTCTTCATCAAAATCTGCTACTGAATTGCTCTCCTTCAGCTTTCATGTCTGATCAGGTTCTGATGGTCATTTTGCTTCTGCTCCATACTCACTCATATGTCCATCATGGATCTGCTCCAAATGTAATTGGTTTTGAGTACTGAAGTCTCTAAAGGGTTCACACTCGTCTTTCTGCCTTGAGTTCACTGATTTCTGGTGAAATTATCCTGTTCTCTACAGCAGCTCCCACCCTTTTCTCCTCAGGCTTGACTGATGCTCCTTTTTGGGACACTCCACCTGCTACCAATTTAATTGTATTTATTTTGTACGATGACAAAGACTATACTACCACCTTCAAATAACCCATGCTCCAATTCAGTACAGGCAGTCCTTGACTTATAACCACAATTGAGCCCAAAATGTATGTTGTTAAGTGAGACATCTGTTAAGTGAGTTCTGCCCCATTGTATGACTTTTCTTGCCAGTTGTTAAGTGAATACTGCAGTGGATAAGTAAGACAGTTGTTAAGTGAATCTGGCTTCACCATTGACTGGCTTGTCAGGAAGTTGCAAAAGCTGATCACGTGACCCCAGGATACAGCAACGGCCATAAATATAAACCAGTTTTGCCAAGCATCTGAATTTTGATCATATGATGCAAAGGTCATAACTGTGAAAAACGGCCGTAAGTCACTTTTTTTTAGTGCCGCTGTAACTTTGAACAGCCACTAAACAAACTGTTGAGCTTTATAGCTCTGGCTTCTGATGCAATTTTCTTAGGTCATTCTTGAGTTGTAGAGGATCGATCGTGTGATTGCTGTGATGGGGCGGGCATTGCTATACTCTTATCTTAAGGCTGCTCTGATCCATTTACTTCCTATGGGAAGGCTGCTGGAATCCCTCCCTTCTTTTCTTTTACAGCTATTCCAACCCATTTTTCCTCAAATTCACCGTGAGTCCCGTTTCTAGCAGGGACCTTGCCCGGCCTTCCTCTTAAAGGCTGCCCCCATCTACTTCCAGGGATCCCGTCCTTTGAGATTCGTGGCGCCACGGAGCCTCTTCCCTTTCCTTATGTCCGCCCTCGCATTCCTCCGAGACGTCACTTTCGCGGCGAGGCAAAGATTTCGCTCCTGGATGGAGAAAAAGGCGGTGGGAACGGCGGAAGGAGCAGCGCGAGGGGCAACTAACCGCAGCCGCCCTCCCTTCCCTCCTTACGGGGGGGCCACGCCATCCCCTCTGGGTTCCCAAGGCGTTCTGCTTGCCTCCCGCCAGCGGCTCGCAGGGGCGACTCTTGGGCGGAGGGAAAAGGAGTCAGTCCAGGGGCGTCCAGCCACCTCAGCCGAAAGCCCGCCAGTTTCATTGCAGAAGTTGTGTGGTAGCCTCCGGAAGTAATTAACATCACTTCCCGGGCCGGTTCGCGGTTACCGTAGAAACCGAGGATGCTTTCTTTCACAGCTATAGAGGTAGTGGCTAGAGCGGTAGCGTTGATCCTCTACTCCAGCGTTTCCCAGTCTGAGCAACTTTTAGCTTGTGTGGACACTTCAACTCCCAGAATTCCCCAGCCAGCATGCTAGTAGTTCGTCTATATAAGTTGCTGAGGGTGATAAACATTGCTCAACCCTATGGCATTTCTTTGTGTAGGTTTCCAGAATGCATAAACATTTATACATATCTAAAATTTCCAAAACCACAGAGAAGGATTCCAGGAAGGAAAAGATAGGAGGCGTTCAAAAGGAAAATAATACAACTATGGAGCATTTCCATGGCTCCATCATTATTCAAATACATAGAAAAGTGTTTTTGCTCTACATACCACCACACTCGCATATTCTGTGTGTGTGTCGTGTCAATATTTCCAGGCTTTTTAGCTCCCCCCTCCCCCAATATTTACAAAGCACAGCTCAAATGGTGAGTTATAATTCCATAATTGCCAATAAAAATGCACTACAATTCCCAGTATCCTCCCTTTAGACGTGCTGACAGTTGCCATCCAATATACATCAGAAGCACCAGATGGAAAGATTGTAAGATATTTTTTCACATGCAATGGCTTTTTTTTTGCAATGGCTTACATATTCAGTTTAGGATTATTGGTAGTGAACTAATACAATTTGGGGAAGGCTGTTCCAATTAATATATTATTTTCTACATGCATAGATCTTCTCCTCCTCCACCTCCTCCCTCTTTGGGTGTCTTGGCACTTTTATCTACTACACCAAGTAAGTTATTAATTTTTCAACAAAACAGATACCAGTAGCCCTCAACTTACAACCACAATGGAGCCCAAAATTCCTGTTGCTAAGTAAAGACAGTTAAGTGAGCTTTGCCCCCATTTTACAACTTTTCTTGCCACACTTGTTTAGTGAATCACTGCATTTAAGTTAGTAATATGTTTGTTAAGTGAATCTGGCTTCCTCCTTGACTTTTGCTTGTCAGAAGATCGCAAAAGGGGATCATATGACCTCAGGATACTGCAAACATCAAATACGAATCAGTTGCCAAGCATTCGAATTTTGATCACATTATAATGGGGATGCTGCAACAATCATAAGTGTGAAAAATGGTCATAAGTGACTATTTCCAGTGCTGTTGTAACTTTGAACGGTCACTAAACGAGCTGTTGGAAGTCAAGGACTACCTGCATATGCTGCCTCAGTCACTTGAGTAGATTTAGTCCTTGATTTATGACCTCAATTCAACCCAAAAGTTCTGTTGCTATGCAAGGCCATTGTTAAATGAGTTTTGCTCTATTTTACCACCTTTCTTGCCACAGTTATTAAGTAAATCATTGCAATTATTAAATTAGTAACATGATCGCTAAGTGACTCTCGCTTCCCCATTGATTTTGCTTATCAGAAGGTGGCAAGAGGGGATCACAGGATACGGTAGCCATCATAAATGCATGCCAGTTGTCAAGTGCCTGAATTTTGATCACATGACCATGGGAATGCTGCAATGGTCATAAGTGTGAAAAATGGGCATAAGTCACATTATTTTCAATGCCATTGTAACTTTGAATAGTCGCTAAAATAATGGTTGTTGAGGACTACCTGCAACTCTGATCAGTTTATATAACACAGCTAACAAAACCATAACCAATTACCGTTTATAGTTGATGCATATCAGGGATATAGGTAATACGGACCTAGCATCACTCCAGTCAACCGAGAAACTTTATTGTACATAGTTGATTCTATTTCAGACCTGGTTCCCATCAGATCTATTGGGCCTGTAATTCAGCACACCCAGAAAACAAACTGACACGGCAATCTGGGAGGTTACATGTGGAAACCCCGTTTGAGAAGCCTGCTTTAGCTCATTGTGATGAGAGCAAAGTGACTTGGCTGATGTAGTAAGGTTCCTTCATGTTTTATGCCCCCTGAGATGGAGAGAAGTCAAAATTCTCTGTGCTTTGTTAAAACACCAAGGCTGTGAAAGTGGGCAGTGACCCAGAAGGCAGCATGATGTCATCAATCCCACCTCCCCTTCCTTCATGACTCCACTCCTTTGTGAAGGTAAAGGTCAACCATTGCCATCATAGAGGGGGCACATGTGGGCAGATGCCCCAGCTCAGATAGCCAGGAGCAGGATAAGCAGGGTTATGTTGGAGGAGAGGAGGATAACGTGGATATTCTGGGACACAGTGAGTAGACTGCTTTTTGCAGTCTGTCCACTCCTACAGATATCAAAAATCTGTCGGCAGCTTTGGAAGGTTGCTATCAGTCTGACAGGAGGTAATTGGACAACAATGTCTTCCTATGTTCTTAGGGAATTCTCATTGGTTGTCATCATGTCGTAATACTTTGAATACTGATCAGATCTATGAAAAAATCTTTTCTCAAAGTAAATTGCTGTTTTGTTTTCAGTTTTGACTTTATAGCCACAACAACAGTGAATTTTAGTAATGATTTTGAGATTATAAAGCCCAGAACAAAATGCCATCTGCTTTATTCTTGTGTAGGACTGTCATTATCTGACAGAGAGGCAAGACAGAAATTAATTGAACAGATATTGGTGTCCCCTCTGTTATTTTCTCTCTCTCATGCTGCATGTGAATACATTACAGAATAATGAAAGCATAAAAATTAAAATTAAAACCTAAATAACACAAATATCATAGTGTGTTACAGCAATTGGAAAAGGAAAAATCTAATCCAGTTTCAGACATGGAACCTCACTGAGTGACTTAAGACCAATTCCTCTCTTGACCAATCGTCACAAGTTGCAGTTGTGGGAAAAAGTAGAAGAAAGCAATGTATAAATAGGTCACCTTGAGTTCCTGAAGTGAAAATGAGAAAAATATAATAAATTAATAAATAAATGGTTACTAAAATGGAAATAGTATGTTGCTCTAATAAATCACTTTAATAAATAATTCCATTATCACCTGGGCATACTAAAGACACAAGCAAAACTATATATTTCATTAGCTCACATTTGTTGCGTTGTTGCTGTTAACTGTGATTGTACTATTTATATAAGATATATATTTTAAACATATGCTTCCCTTTATTTTTTCCGAGGGTGGATTGCAATTATTATTTAGCATAATATAATTATAATTAATACTGTATTATAATTTGTTACATCAGGGGTGAAATATTGTTATTGAACACGTATGCCACAATTCCTTTGTTCAATTAGTAAAATTTATTACAAATTATCATAGAAATGATATTAATAAACATGCATATATTTTGTAGATATAATTATATCTGGATAGATAGATAGATAGATAGATAGATAGATAGATAGATAGATAGATAGATAGATAGATAGATAGATAGATAGATAGATATCATTGTTAATGGCGAATTAAACAACGCGCTAAGATTATTAGCAATGCAGCAGTTGGCACGACCCGACCATGTGCTCTATTTAAAATAAAGAGTAATACAACAGTTGCGCCTTTCGCCCATTGGAGCGGCCTCTTCTGTGACGGAACATTCTCCCATATACGCATGCGCCCGCCTCTTCCCACCGTGTGTTCGAGTTTTACGGGATATTGATAACAGAGTTGGCAGAAAGCAGTGCGCATGCGTGCCTGCGCATGAGCCGCCCCGCTCGCGCGCTCTCTCTCTCTCTCTCTCTCGTCCTTCGCCCGTCTACGTCCATGCCTAAGTCCTCTGCTGAGCCCGCAAAACCGTCCGTGGGCGGAGCCTTTTGAATTAAGATTTTAACGTTTAGCAAAGACGCACATGC